TCCTTAAGGACTGGTGTGGACATGTCCCCACCAATCTTGACCGGTAGGGGGACAGTCCCCACCAATATTTTGTACACGTATTTTGCTTTCGATGCTGTGTATATCTGATTAAAACCCCATTCATGCCGCTCCTCAGAAAGAAAATAAAAAAAGTTCTCCCCGCTGCTCACCGTCCACAAACCCCGACAAAAAAAACTCAGAAAAAAGAATCTGTTGCCTCTCGCTTTCTCCCCATCACCCCCCTCCAACCTCTCCCCATAACATTTGAATTGAAGATATCCGCGGGTGACGGGTCGGGTTCGGTAGTCATCCTAACGGGTTCGGGCGGGTGCGGGTTGGTAAAACTCGACCCATGCAGGTCTCTAAGCTACACTACATTCAGTATCGTTGCCATAGAAACAGACAACAGCGCCAATATATCAGAATTATACTAAAACACAGGCAAATAATTTCCCACATAAAAAACAGGACTTTCAGTCCATTACAGTTTTCCGTTTTTAGAGGGTTGATTATTTTGCGTTTATTAAGTGATGGCTGTGGTATATTAGCTTTCACTGCTATAAGCTTTCGCAGCAGTGATTGATTAATTTAAACACCTGCTCTACTGATGGTCTATCGGAGTTGGTGTTTAGGTTGAACATAAAGAACACCTTTTATTTGAAGCTTCTTGTAGCTACTGTTTTAATCCCGGCTTTACTTAAAACTTTTTCCTGACTTTGATAGTGTTGCCATTCAGTAGCAAGCACTGCGCCCCTTTTTCTTTTATATGTACACGTACATTTAAGATTTAGCGTGTTAAGTTGACAACTCATGAGCAAGCTGCTTTTTGCAATCTAGCAGGAAGGTAAGGATAGGATCTTGCAGGTGTGTCGTCACTCTGCAGGGGGTCCAAAGATAAAAGATTTAAACAATTTTGGCATTGGCATTTCAGATTTAAGGGAGTTAGAAAGTTCACTTAGTAAAAGTGCAAATAATAAATCTGATTACCGATTACTTTTAAGCTGGTTGAACATACTGCGACAGACTGGTGACCTGTCCAGGGTGATCCCACCTCTCACCCAGAACGTGGCTAGAGATATGCACCAGCACCTCCTGATCCCACTGAGGGATAAGGTTAAAGAAAATGGATGGTTGAACATAGTCCGCTCTCCCAGATTCTATCAAATCAGTATTGATACCCTCAGGGGCGGATTTAGGAAATTTGGGGCCCTAGACAAAGACAGGCAGGGGGCCCCCTGAGAAGTAAACCCATAAAACAGACCCATTGTACAGATAGAGAAATGTTAATAGAATAGACATCCATTATTTGTTCTAGGTTTTGTCCCTCTCTCCTTGTCCCTTTTTCCTCTCTATTTATCAGCGTTCTGATGGCATTTTAGCCAAAGGATTTTTATCAAAAACATAATTATTGTGCACAAATAAGGATTAGTTGTATTAACCATACATGGAAACAGAGTTTTATGGGGCCCCCAGAACTTGGGGCCCTGGGCAACTGCCTAGTATTGCCTAATGGTAAATCCCCCCCTGGATACCCTGCTGGTGGATGTTCTTGACAGAAAGACGGAGTTGCTTAATCATATTCTGCTTAAGGTCCCATAAGATCTTGTCCGAGTCCTGGTTTAAAAGTAAATTAATTTTAAAAAGTGACCCAAAATTGACTGTCAATAAATGTTCTACAAAATTGATATATTTATTTGATTTCTTTGATTTGTACTGTCTGTTTAGATTTATGTGATATTTTTTGCACAAAATATATAAGTGAATATTGTAACAGTTATGTTTTCAACTGTAAGCATTAAATTGATAAATGTTATTCGCATTTTTTTGGCTTTATCCTTTCCAACAAAAAAAAAAAGGTGTCGCGCAGGTAGCTCCCTTTCCTTATGAGCCGTCCCCACCAACTTTCAACACAAAGTTACACCCTTGTCTTAGACAACGCCTTAGCAGGTGCACTGAAAAAATTCGGCGCGCGCTATACGCGCGCATTATCTTCTAGGGGCTGAGCCACCCTTGTCTCTTAAACCTAGAGACGCCCCTGACCAGAATGATTGACAATTAGGAGGACCACTTATTTTTATGATCGACCTGTAAAAATAACATCTTCCACTATGCCTTTAAGTAAAACCCCTGGCAAGAAAGTTCTTTATTCTTCTACTTTCCAACCCAAGTGAAATAATTAACGTTTCTGTTCTTGCAAAGTAAATATAGGCTTTAAGTAATGCTCTACTGGCTAAAACAGGGGGCAAGTATTTATCCTTTCCATCTATCCATGTCTATCAGTATCATGGGGTTACATCTTGGAAAGGTCCAGTCAACCATACAGACACACCTAAGGGCAAATCAGAGAAGCTGGCGAACACATACAAAACCTATGGATGCATCGAGAAAACATGGAGACTCCATGCATGAAGACCATTGGCTGGGAATTAAACCAAGGTGTCGTGATCTTATGACTTATCACTTATGGCTGGCTTAATTGCTCAAAACATTCACCTGTCTAACTCTACCTGGTTGCTCATTAACGCTTATATGATCCACCTGGTCCTGACTCTATTTAGTGGACTTCAAGCCATCTGAGTCAGATTATCTCGTTTTCTTGGGCCAGTGGTGAGAGAGGTTTTTAGCATATCATAGTGATTTTGATTTCCTGATCCTGACAATATCTGCCTCCCATCCACTGAGCGTACCTATTCTTGTCTGATCTCAGTGGAGGGAGTGGTTTTTAGCTTACCATAGTGTTTCTGGTTTCCTGATCCTACCTGTTCTGCCTCTCAACAACAGCGCTCCTTTTCCCGTCTGAACATTTTGCCTGAACCCTATGTTGGACTCCTGCAAGCCTGAACCAGCCTCTTCCTGTTCTGATCGGTATCCCTGACCGGGCTTTGGACTCCTGGGGCTCTGAGCCTACCTATTCTGATCTGTTTCCATGACCGGGCTTCAGACTCCTGCATGTTCTCCAGGGCTGCAGCATATGGGACAATCTGGCCGCATCACTCTCCACTGCATCTTGTTGGTAGCCCACCGGCTGGATTATATCTCTTTCTCTGGGCTATGGACTTAACTGTTAAACCAGGCTAGTGACTAGCATGGATAATAATCCTCCGTCAGATTATCATTGTCACTAATCTGTGTTTTTCTCCTAAAGAGTTTCCACTCATTGACACTCTAGCCACTGATTCTGCGGATTCCATTGAGTTTCAATGAACGCTTCTTAAGTTATCTCACTGTCTGTCAAGCCTGAATACTGGGTTCTTCTGTCCTGTGTCATGACACGAGGACCTTCTTGCTGAAAGACAACAGTGCTAAAAACTTCACCAACATGCAGCCATTTATTTTTTCAGTTATTTTAATAAAAAAATGAGTTATATCCACATGATCTTTCCCGATTAGATAAATAGCAATAGATACATTGTAACTTTATTAGTAAAACACTATCATTACTATTGAAAGCATTAAAATGACAAAGGAAAAAAAAAAGATTTTGAACTGACGCTCGTGTTTGTTCACTATTGGTGTGACTGTTATAGTATGTTTTCAGTTATTCATTTAAATCACTTACCTAAGTGAGATGATCCTATAACAAATCATTTCAATTAACATAAATAAAACCAATAATCCATTTCATATGCTTAAAACTTTTATAAAGGAATTCCACATAAACTTAAATAAGACATACATGTAAGCTTAAGTATGTCGATATGTTTCCGCCAATTTCGAAAAAAAACAAGAAATGAGTGCCTTCCTTAACAGATTGTCACCTTAAAGCTTGAAGTTTTATCCTAAAAGTCTGACAATCGTGAACCTTAGTTGTTGCAGGTGACAAATAAACGTTGGTGAATAGTTATTTAACAAGGGAGGGAATCATATCTTAACATTGAGGCATTTTTGTTAGTGTAGCTTTTGCTCTTTATATTGAATGAAATAAATTATTCCATAAAGCTTTTTAAATAAACTCAGGTTCTTTGACATAAGTTTGTTTTATAAAGAACTTGGATTTTTATCATAAACATAGAAATGTTCCATCCAAATGTTGATTTTTAGTTATTTTTTATTATTATCACAATTACGGCATAAAGAGATATTTTGAAGCATCAAATAAATAGCAACTACACTTAGTTTAGGTAAACATAAATGTCTCACAAAAAAAGTTTAAAATGCATATTCTCTATATACCTTCACCTTATTTGCTCTGTGGACTAGGAAACATCTTAAGGCTTTGTGTCCCTATGTTCATGTTGAGGTTATGTCAACAGTTTTAAAATCATACAGTAGCCGTTATATAAATCCGGTTCTTTGCACAAAAATAGACTTGCAGAAGTTATTGCTATGTTCATGATGGACAAAAGCTTCTCCTTCTGTGGGTAATTGTGTGTTTTTTGAGGACGACCTTATTGGATTGGATAACAGCTGCCAGAGAGGTCTGAGAGTGTGACAGTGAAACATGTATATGGGCTTTTCAGGCAGATGTCAGACGGACAGAGAGGCTCCGTAAGAGGACACACAGCTTTAACAGGATTGGAAATGGTACTGACCGGCTGCACGAGAAAGCAGGGGATGAGAGTCAAACGTGGGTCTGAGGAGGGGTTTTCAAGGCAGGGAGTATTGTCTTTTAGCCACAAAGTTGTCTAAGCATGCAATTTTCTATGCCGCAAATGCTTGAGAAGATGGATAAGAGGGATGAATTAAATTTAGAAGAAAAGCAGGGAGCTTTGTGAATGCGTAAAGCTGTTTGAACACGTCATCAAACGCTGGTGGCACAGCAGGGGTCCTCGGGATACACCCGTCTCAGAGATGTCTGGTGGTGTGGGTGGGTGGGTGTGTGTATAGTTTTGTACTGGCCAAATAAACCTTCCATCTTCGTGCAGAAGCAAGCAGTGGATGTGAGTCGTGGGGGGCTTGCAGCGCTCTTTCTGCTCCATATTTACACCTTTTTTAAATGCCGGGCCGACAGGCTGGCGGTGCTGGGCAGAGATTCTTTGATGCTCGTCGATATCGCTGCGTGATGATGTCACACGGCAGAGAGCAAAGGAGGGAGGCATGATCAAAGGAGAAAAGGGAGGGATGAGGACACAACAGAGGATATCCAAGACAACAACGGGACAAAGATGGCGACTGCTTCTGCAGTGGGACGTCCACTGGCGTCCACTCTTCCCAATCATCAGGAGGAACCGGGCAAACGTGGCAAGCTTATTCCCCTCATATTTTCTAACAGGATGACCGCCGGCATTAGATGCTGGAACCAAAACACCAAAATCAGCCATCACTGCCGCTGGGCTAGCAAGGTAAGCTCTCCGTCTACCTCAGTCTTCCCTCCGCTGCCGTCAAACCTTCAAGCCGCAATGTCCTAATGTCTGGATGTCCTCACTCCGGGCCCATGCATTTATCATGAGTTTCTATTCTTTTTGATATCACATTTTCAACCCATTTTCCCTTCTTTTTCTTAGTCCTTTCATCATGTTTTTTTTTTTTTTTTTTGCTGCTAATATGGGCCTCTCCTTCCCATCAAAGGCAGCACATCAATTGCCTTGACTCCCAAGTGTATGTGCGAGGGTAAAAGGAAGAAAGGGAGAGAGGGTGGGAAGAAAAAAAAAGAATAACACCATGTATCAAAGATCAAGGCATGCTTTCATGCTTGTTTTTGGCCTTGGCTTGGGTTTGCCTTCCATCTCCTTCCTATCGTCTTTTTTCCTCCGCCATCCAAGGCTAAAGACGCTCTCACCGAAACTCTCCATCAATTTCTGCGCATCCTAGGCGGCCCAATGCGCAGGTTTGTTAAAACATGAAATTAGAAGCTTTTGTGGTGATATGGAACCATGGAAGATTTTTCTTTATGGGTTTTTCTTTGAAAATATTGGGAAGCTTGGAGACATTTGGGTCAGAGCTCTGCCCCGATGATGACAATACGTGAAACAATATTTGAATAAGCAGCAGGAGGGCACCCAGCTAATCCACTGTGGCTAATCCAGTATTGGTGCAGGCCATATTGGTTAGCTGGAGTATTCAGGCCTATCACAATACACATCAGCAGGATGCCATGGCGGATATGCTGACACACTAACTAGAACCATGGCAAGGAAAGACGAGCAGATGGGTAGATGGATGGGAGAATAAAAAGCTGGGTGGAAAATTTGGATGTTTTTCATAAAATGCTATTTCACTTAAGCAAATTAAAGCATTCGTGGAAAGAAGTTTAAAAAAATATAATTGGCCATGAAAGATAAACTATAAAAAACAGACATAAGCTTCAAGTCAGGTCTTAATATTTAATGATCAAGACAAAACAAGCCAAAATTTTCATACCTCCCTACTCTTTAACAGGCTGTACAGAAACCGAAAAATAAACTTGCCTCAAATTAATGTCTACTAAATAGCAGGAATCTGTTTCCATCTCAAGAGGTATATAATGAAGATTTCATTCTCCCTGAGCACCTAAATGGGCCTTTTATGCAGAGAGGCCCCCGAAGAGATAAGCCTGTTTCTGACAGGCCTCTGTACAGACGCCCAAATCTGCTGTGGCAGCTGGAACAAAAGACTCTTGAGCTTAACCAACAGACTGACAAAAAGAGAGGGGAAAAACTGTGTATTTTAAGGGAGCAGAATCAGTTTAAGATTTATCTAATGATCTAATTGTTTCTTCTGCAAGAAAAGTTATTTATGTGGCTCTTTTAACAGCAGCTTAAGATACCCTGGATCACAGGAGCTGCTTCATTAATCAGTCAGGCGCTCCGGTTGCAGCACTCAGAAAAGCACAAGTAATATAATGCTATGTTGATGAACTCCTCAGTTCCCATGTAGTCTACATCAGCTCATCTGAAAGATGAAATTTACTTTCATTGCATAATTTAGCAATGATGACAAAAACAAATGATATTACATTAAAGAACGTCTACTAACAGGGGGAGGGATTAACATTGATTATCTCTTTACCTTTTCACTTCTCTAAGGGTATAAATGAAAAGTTTTTTAAGTGAAAAGCAAAAAATGGGCTGGGATAAAATATTAAGAGAATCTGACAAATGGTCACATCTTAAGGACAGACAACAGCTTTAGATCATCTCCAAAAATAAGATTTTGTGCAGAGTGCTCCAGGTCTGCAGAGGTCAAAATAAATTAAAGGTGGTCCAACAGTAGGGGACTGGTGGTACTCTTTTAGCTTGTACGTAAATCACATCACTCAATGTTTTCAGGTTGCAGAGAAATCTCCAAATAGCTGAACTTGGATTTCTTAGAAGCCACGGAAAAGTGTGGTAGACTTATTTTAGCCTGCTGTCCAGCAGTAAACAGATCAGGTTCTAACAACTTCAGAGAACCTAAGTAACTCCGGACATGTCTCTGGCATTAAACTGGAGCAACTCTATAACAGAAATGTAATAATTCAATTCAATTCAGTTTATTCATATAGTGCCAATTCACAACAGAAGTCATCTCAATGCACCTTATAGAGACAATTTAACCAGGTAATCCAGTCAGATTGGTAAAAAGTTTTCTATGTAAGGAAAACCAGATGATTGCGTCAACGCATTGACTCAAAGGCAATTCCTCACAACAAGCCTGCTTGTAGCGACAATGGAGAGGAAAAACTCCCTTTTAACCGGAATACACCTCCAGCAGAACCAGACTCAGTGTGAGCGGCCATCTGCAGAGGCCAAGCTGCAGAGGCCAAAGATAGCTTTGGTTTCTTTTAGAGGATAACAAACCCTGTCCGAAAGAAAAAAATGATTCAGGCATTGTTTGAGGATCATCCAGATAATCACCCAGATCTTTATTTAACTGAACATCTGATATATGCTGGACATAAAACTCTAATAAAGGAAAGACACTTACATGAAATATCTATTAAAACTGTGCCAGGTGGCATAACACAGGGCAACCAGTAAACTTAATGGGTCGGGGATATTCTGACAGTAAAACAGGGACCTAGACACCATGGACAACAGCTCATAATATTATTACTCGTATGTGAACATGCACACTGTAAATAACGACACACTGTCTGAGCAAATTACATTATTAAGGCCTTCTCTGTTTCTCAACTTTGGGTTATTTGTTTTCCCTTTAATTGCAGATATTGCTCAAGAGACAGTGTCTGACTTTCACAAGAGGTCAGAAGGAGTCACATGTCATTTACTACAGTAAAATAGTCTATATGCAAGTAGCTGGGATCTCATCAAAAAGTATTTCTTGTTGGATGAATATTATAAAAGTCAACAAAGTTTAGGCTTCTGCAGTGTGAGTTAAAGTAATTATACATATTTGTTTAGTTAATACCCGATTGGTTTCAGAAAAATACCTTTCTGTCAACAGCTCTATACAATGCTTTTAGAATCACAACAAACTAACGAGCACAGTTGGCCTCCACCAGATTTCACTTGAAGAAAAGACAGTCTGACATGTGAACCACTGGTCCATTGGATGGCATAAATCAAACATACAGATATGGATGAATGTTTCCTTGGCTGCTGGTTGGATGATGATTTGATGGTGTAATAGACGATAAGATACAGTGAGGAAAACGGGTATTTGAACACACTGATATTTTGCAAGTTCTCCCACTCAGAAATCATGAAGGGGTCTGAAATTGTGCATGTCCACTATGAGAGACATAATGTAAAAAAAAAAAGGAAATCCAGAAATCACAATATATGATTTTTTAACTATTTATTTGTATGATGCTGCTGCAAAAAAAATATATGAAAACCTGCCTATCAGCTAGAATGCTGACCCCTATAGACCTCTTATTCTGCCTTCAAAATATCCACCTCCACTCCATTTATTATCCTAAATTTGATGCACCTGTTTGAGTCTTTGAGGTCGTTAGCTGCATAAGCACACATATCCACCCCATACAATTAGTAAGAATCCAACCACTAACATGGCCAAGACAAAAGAACTGTCCAAAGACACTAGAGACAAAATTGTGCACCTCCATAATGCTGGAAAGGGCTACGGGGAAATTGCCGAGCAGCTTGGTGAAAAAAGGTCCACTGTTGGAGCAATCATTACAAAATAGAAGAAATTAAACATGACTTCGATCTCCCTCTGACTGGGGCTCCATGCAAGATCTCACCTCTGGGGGTCTCAATGAGCTGAAGAAAGGTGAGAAATCAGCCCAGAACTAAAGGGGAAGAGCTGGTCAATGACCCTAAGAAGAATGATGAGCACAATCCCAAGAACATAATCCCTACTGTGAAGCATGGGGGTGGTAGCATCATACTTTGGGGGTGTCTTTCTGCATATGGGACAGGGCAACTGCACTTTATTAATGAGAGGATGATTGGGGCTATGTTTTGCGAGATTTTGGGGAACCTCCATCCATTATGCCAAGTTCAGACTGCACACCCTAGAGGCAGCAGAAGCAGCTAGTATACATGAAAAGTCAATGGCTGACGTGCATCAAGGCACAGCAAAAGGTCCTGCAGCCTGTTTTGAGCAGCTGAAGCAGCACCTCATGAAAAATTGAACTTTTGCTGCTCGATGTGCCACATAAACCAATCAGAGAAGCTGATCTGGGTGCTGGCAGGGAGTCAGTACAGAACTGCTGATGCAGTTAGCTATGATCACTCCTCTGAAACAGTTTATTAATGCCTAAATTAACCTACATGACAAAACCTGCCAGTAAAATATGTTTGAATTATTTTTCTGGTGCCTGCGGTTTTGATAACGCACGTGAAAAACCCTAACATCTCTTTCCAGCCATCACGAAACAGTAGCAGAAAACCATGAAGAGGCGACCGGGCCAGAGGCTGTTGTTGAACAGGATTTCCAGGGACAGAGCTCAGCTGTACAACCTCTCAGAGCGCCGGTTTACGGGGATCTGAGTGGCTTCGACAGTGAAATAATATTTGAAAGCAGGACGGTAATCTTGATAAACTGACTGATAAAGTTTTCAGGTGTACTTTCTCACATAAAAAAATATTAAAAGTAAATATAGCAAAGCTTGTCTCTGCCACTCAAAAAGCAGCAGCAGAAGCTTTAGACACATCTGGACACACTTTACTGGACGTCTGACCTTAATGTAGACAAGCATCAAAAACGAAGCAGCAGAAGCTTTTTTGCTGCTTCCACTGCTTGCGGTTTGAACATAGCATTACCCATTAAAATAAGCCAAAGGCAAAGAAAGGATAGGGTAGCTCCGCCCATCAGACCTACTTTTCGACCGTGCAGTTAGAGCAGCAAAGATGCTTCAGCTGCACGTCAGAACTAAACTTGTACAAGCATTGAAAATTAACCAGCACATGCGTTTTTTTGCTGCTTCCAGCGCTTGCGATCTGAACATAGCATTAGTTAGAGCATTTAAGATGGGTTGAGGCTGGGTCTGACCGGAAGAACACAGCCAGGATAACCAAGGAGTGGCTCTGGAAATAAAGGTTCTGGTGTGGCCTAGTCAGTCTCCAGACCTAAACCCAATAGAGAATCTTTGGAAGGAGCTTAAACTCTGTGTTTCTCAGTGACAGCCCAGAAGCCTGACTGATCTGTGATGAGGACTGGGCCAAAATGCCTCCTGCAGTGTTTGCAAACCTGGTGAAAACTAAAGGAAACATTTGACCTCTGCAATTGCAAACAAACGCTGCTGTATCACATATTACCTTGATTTTCTCCGGTGTTCCAATACTTATTTGCAGCTGTATCATGTATTTTAGATTATGTCTCTCACAGAGGACATGCACCTATGTTGACAATTTCCCCTCCACGATTTCTAAGTGGGAGGCTCGCAAAATATTGTTTTAAATATGATTTTTCTCACTGTAAATATCAAAGCATGACAGATGTTTGACAGATGGATGTATGGTCGGTGAAACCGACAGGCGACTACATGAATAAATCAATGATTGGTTATGGAGGCTGATTGGTTAGATGCATGGCCTGGTAAATTAATGCATGAATGTTTTATACTTGACATGCAGCATTTATAGATAAAATAATTAGTGTATAAAATCTATCTATCTACTCTCGTCCGTCGATCTGTTTAGTTTGAGCAATGCGTAAAAAACTAAGATAGATAGATAGATAGATAGATGATAGATAGATAGATAGATAGATAGATAGATAGATAGATAGATAGATAGATAGATAGATAGATAGATAGATAGATAGATAGATGATAGATAGATAGATAGATAGATAGATAGATAGATAGATAGATAGATAGATAGATAGATAGATAGATAGATAGATAGATAGATAGATAGATAGATAGATGATAGATAGATAGATAGATAGATAGATAGATAGTGTATTGGTGTCCCTTGTGTGATGACCTTTTTCTAAGTCTGATTTCTCCCATGCTCACTCTTACACTCACATACACATATACAGTGTAGGTTCATTATAGATTCATAAGTAGCAACATGCCCCCAACCCCTCCTCACCAAGACACCATAAAGGTCAAGTTCATCTTCGTCAGTATTCTCTCTTTGTCTCCCTCCCTCTTTCCTCATTGTCTCTGGGGGAGCAACAGTAGAACAACAGCAGCCTGTTGATACAGAGGGAAGCTGTCAGTCCAAATGCATTTTATCACTTTTATTTATTTATTTATTTTTACATAATGTGAACACATTTCCATAATACAGCATGTTTTGTCTGGTTATGACGTCTGCCCACCGAACACCTCTTTCCATATGAAAACCTGCTGACTTCATTACTGCCCTCTGAAAGCTTTAGGTGGATGTGTGTGTAAGCATTGTGTTAATGATTACTTATTTTAAAAAACTCAGGGGGAAATGGAGGGAAATGGTTCAACACCATCTCATGGGTTTGAGATGTCAGAAATATAAATGTCAAGGAAATTATCCAGAACCATCTATCTAAAATTGGTTAATTGTGGGTGACAGCAGATGCCGATTAAAAACATCACTCTCCACCTTGAAATTCTGAATATACCCAGAAGATTTTCAAGCATCTATAACATAACTTTGCCATCTTACATTCCGCGCTCAGCAACCCCACAGATGGCTTATTTTAGCCACTTGTAGTTTGGATCACCTTAATGTCACCATATCTCATGAGAAAAGATGTGAGTCATAACTCTGCACTATAGGAGAGATGCAATAATCAGATCCGTATTGCAAATATATGAAATCTGTTATTTTAAGCTTTCACCTCGAGTGCAAAAAGAAAACAAATATTTATCTTTCCTGCAAAGATAGTCAGTAAATACATACACTATATTGCCAAAAGTATTTGCTCACCCATCCAAATTATTGGAATCAGGTGTTCCAATCACTTCCATGGCCACAGGTGTATAAATTCAAGCACCTAGGCATGCAGACTGTTTTTACAAACATTTGTGAAAGAATGGGTCGCTCTCAGGAGCTCAGTGAATTCCAGCGTGGAACTGTGATAGGATGCCACCTGTGCAACAAATCCAGTCGTGAAATTTCCTCGCTCCTAAATATTCCACAGTCAACTGTCAGCTGTATTATAAGAAAATGGAAGTGTTTGGGAACGACAGCAACTCAGCCACGAAGTGGTAGGCCACGTAAACTGACGGAGCGGGGTCAGCGGATGCTGAAGCGCATAGTGCGAAGAGGTCGCCAACTTTCTGCAGAGTCAATCACTACAGACCTCCAAACTTCATGTGGCCTTCAGATTAGCTCAAGAACAGTGCGCAGAGAGCTTCATGGAATGGGTTTCCATGGTCGAGCAGCTGCATCCAAGCCATACATCACCAAGTGCAATGCAAAGCGTCGGATGCGGTGGTGTAAAGCACGCCGCCACTGGACTCTAGAGCAGTGGAGACGCGTTCTCTGGAGTGACGAATCGCGCTTCTCCATCTGGCAATCTGATGGACGGGTCTGGGTTTGGCGGTTGCCAGGAGAACGGTACTTGTCTGACTGCATTGTGCCAAGTGTAAAGTTTGGTGGAGGGGGGATTATGGTGTGGGGTTGTTTTTCAGGAGCTGGGCTTGGCCCCTTAGTTCCAGTGAAAGGAACTCTGAATGCTTCAGCATACCAAGACATTTTGGACAATTCCATGCTCCCAACTTTGTGGGAACAGTTTGGAGCTGGCCCCTTCCTCTTCCAACATGACTGTGCACCAGTGCACAAAGCAAGGTCCATAAAGACATGGATGACAGAGTCTGGTGTGGATGAACTTGACTGGCCTGCACAGAGTCCTGACCTCAACCCGATAGAACACCTTTGGGATGAATTAGAGCGGAGACTGAGAGCCAGGCCTTCTCGTCCAACATCAGTGTGCGACCTCACAAATGCGCTTCTGGAAGAATGGTCAAAAATTCCCATAAACACACTCCTAAACCTTGTGGACAGCCTTCCCAGAAGAGTTGAAGCTGTTCTAGCTGCAAAGGGTGGACCGACGTCATATTGAACCCTATGGATTAGGAACGGGATGTCACTTAAGCTCATATGTGAGTCAAGGCAGGTGAGCAAATACTTTTGGCAATATAGTGTATATTTAAAGAGAGGCAATGTCACAGTGTGTATGAATCAGATGCCACTGTAAAAAAAAAACATGCTTTATTAACATTTCAAAGCAATGAGAAAAGGGTTATCGAACAGTTTAGGATAATCTTTTAGTAATTAGCAGGAAATAATACAAACAAAAGTATGTCTATCTGCTGTTTAAAAAAACAACAACTTTGCCTTTAAATAACTATAAATGTCTCTAAAAGGTGTTTTGGGTTGTCAGAACCTGTTAGCCAAGCAAAACATGCATTAGCAGGACAAACAATGACTATCTAAATACATTTCTAGATAATCTGACCCATTAGAATTAGCTGTTCTGGGTTCTGGAAAAGGCCTAAAACATTATTAATCCATTATGCTCCACCAGTTATTTGAAAAACAAGCCTGGATGACCAGACAATTCAAGCCCAATCCTGAGTGTAACGTATTTTATAGCACCTTTTCCATATTTACTGAGCACAAAAACATTTTATGTTTTGTGATGTATTTTTTCTTTCTCTTAAGATTGTGATTTTTCACCTCACTTGTTAGATATTTAGATTGGTAGCATTTGTACATTATACCCAACCATTGCCCATACTAATATTTACATAGGATAGTGGGTAAACCCGGTCTTGAGGGGGTGCCACTTCAATATGCAGCAAAATAGATAGACAGGATGCACTATTGTGCATAAACACGTACAAAAGTAGCAGGTGAGAAGCCAAGCTGCAAGAGGAGAACTTAGAAGAAACAGTGCTCCACTGTGCATCCTGCTATAGACATGTTGAAAATGAAAATAACCATTTTAATGTCTGCTATTCTATTTTAGCCTATTTCAGAAATAAATAAGGAATGAAGCTGTATGTGCCATTTTAATTAAGATATTTCTTATACTTTCCAGGCACAGGTGATATTGAATGGGTCAGCAATGAGGAGAAGTATTGGAACCCAACCTGGACCGCCAGACCCACAGTTCCTTCACATGGGAACACCAGCCTCTGACAGGGGGGATGGTAAGTTCCTAGGTATCTAGGGTATAGGTATAGTCCAAGGATTTTTGATGAGAGTAATTAAAACCTCTGTAGTGAGTAATTTTCTACTGATAATATTTGTAGTTTTGCAAATATTTGTGTATTTTTATAGCTGTTGACATTAATTAAATTAATTTTTAAAAAATCTGATTGATTTTAAAATATTCTTCTTTATAAGAGCTCAACCATCAGAGAAAATACTCAAAATTTCAATAAATGGTTTGGTCTGAACTCTGTCTTTTTTATCTAATTTTGAAAAATACATTTTATTTGAAACTTTTAGGAAAATGAACAAATGAAATGTTTTTCATTGGTATTCATACCTGTTGATTTCTTATTACATTTTGTCATATTCTACACACTCTCAAAAACACTATAGTTCAGGGTCAGGCCCAAAATTAGAGAGTAATTAGTAAGTGGAATGGAAATGAGACATGTTTTTCTAAACTAAAAAAAAAAAAAAGAAGTTTTATGCTTTTAACAGACTAAATATTTTTTTATATATATATAGCAGGGAGCAGGCACAATACCCAGAACATGAGATAAAACATGGTAATGGCAACATCATGCTCTGGGAATACTTTTCTTCAACAGGGTGATAAGGAAAGTTTTAAAAGAAAACCTGTCATAGCTGAAAAAAAAAACAAGGAAAAAAACTTGAGATTGGATAAATGGTTCAGCAGGATAAGAAAGGCATTTCTATGCAGCCACATTTAAATGGATTGGCTCAAAGAATATTAAAGTGGCCCAGTGAAACTGCTGACCTAGGTTTGTAATCTAGTTATCATACAACTGCATTTATATCTACATTTTTTGCTGCACCATGGCAACACAAAAGCTAAAATAGTATGGATGATTTTACAAAGCATGTATATAAATCAAATGCAGTGTAAATAGGCTGTAATAAAATGTGCATTTTAGAATGGTGTTACGATGAAATATCGGGTACATGGTTCTTTAGCAGGAAAAATCACTATAGTTTTTATATCACAGCTGTGGCAGATTTTAACAGCCATCCCCTTCTGTTGCCTCCCCTCCCTCTCCTTCTCTTGCCCCTCCATACCAGCAGAAGCTCCTGCTCCTGGATGAATGACAGCCCAGCGGAGGAGAATGACAGTGAGGATGCCCGGGTGGCGCTCCTTCAGTCCACTCAGCGTCTCCACCTGCGTGGAAACCGACTCCTTCAGGACTAAACATCTGCTCAGAGGAACTGCTGGCCTGACAGGTAATGTTGCCATTACCATGTGCTTTGCTGCAGCTCTGTCGCGCATTTAATCCGAGAGAGAGGCGCTTACCTGTGCATGGCAGGAATTATTTTATTGTTATTTATTGATATAGCAACTTTTGAGTATTTTTCTTGTGTCTGTTTCAGTGTTTTCCCCTATCATATCAAGGTTAATAGAGTGATAACTTAGGTTATTGTTTGCTATCGTTGCAAATGTTTGACTTTCTTTAATTAAGACCATGACCACTTCCAGTCGATAGGGGCGCTGTTGGGCACGTTTTTACAGAGCATAAGCGGAATATTATTAATAGATTCATTTTAATGAGTAAATTAGTAATTAAGTCATCCACTTTTATGATTAGATTTTATTAAAGCTATATTTTAATGTTTTTTTTATTTACCTTGGATGAAGTAATTTTCCTTCTCACATCCTATTCCTGCATGTCAAAAATAACCTGCAATTTGAGCCGCCTCTTATAATAAATATTTAACTTTTCTAAAAAAAAAAAAATGAATAACTTCATCCTATAATCTCGCCTTCTTTCACTGATTTCTTACAAGTGAAATTCTTAGGTGACAAATTAGAATCACTCTGACTATTGTAGTCAACTGTTTTTTGTTTTGTTTTTAATAAAAAACAAAACAGTTTAAATTAGTTTAAATTCCTAGAGAACTTAACCCCAATAATTTCAGGGTTGTTGCTTAAATCTGCTGTAAATTTGTAAATTATTTGTAATTTCTTAAGGAATAATAACTAAATAATCCTTTTACATATTTATTGATGTTATTTTTGCATAATAGGTGACACTAATTGCGGTATAGATATTGAGAATACATGGTATTTAATAACATGTTTTCCCAGCCGTCTCGTAGCTGCTGCTGCCTTTGGCCGTAGACATAGTGAGCACTGTGTAATATATTTCTATTATTGAATAATGATAATTACATTGAAACTATTGGTTACTTTATGAGTATCAGTTGTTAAATGGTTTAATCTTGGAGGTTAGCAACATTTTCCTGTTAGATGCTAGATTTCTTTGTGATTTTGACAATTTTGTGAAAAAAAAACAACTAATCAAATGCAGACATTGCTTAATTTGATCTATGCCGAATCAACGATTAATGTGCACATATATTTATATATATATATATATATATATATATATATATATATATATATATATATATATATATATATATATATATATATATATAAATACATATAGCGATTACATTAATTTAATTATTCAAGGACCTAAAGACTTAAAATATCATCTTTACTAATGGGTCCTGTTCAATTGAATTGTATTGAGTCTGGTGCATAAAGTCAGATACCGATTTAAAAGCAATGAAAACAGTACAGCTTAATCCATACATGGTAGAATACAGTAGATAGTGTAATTCAAATGGTGCCTGTTGAACAAAATTAACAGATCTTCTATGCTGTGCGAGCATATCGTGACAATTGAGAAGAACAGCTCCCCTTAACAGGTAGAAACCTCTGCTTTTCAGTCATGGTTTGAGAAATCCCATAATACGTCCCATTTGGACCATACGTTCTCAAAGTGATCAATTTGCTTTGTATATTCCTTCTCAGTTAACCTGAATTGGGGTTGCAGTCTTGTCTTTTTTTTATACCATGGGAGGTAGTGCCAAACTGTAACATTTATGAAATGTGAGACGTAAAGTGAACTTAGTGTCATAGCTTCTATGTCTTCCTATGTGTAGAGTACAGATAGAGCAGGAGTGCTATCTTCCAGAGTCTATCTAAAAATATGTTGCTCGGCAAGATCTGCCACAGATAAGTATATGTTTAGGAAGGTACATATAAACTTTGCTTGTTTTTAAAACACTGGATGTGTTTTACCATTGTGCCATTTGTGGGTTCCAGTTTGTGTGGAAGTGGGAACATCTGCATGTTCCACCTGAATAGTCGGATCCCTAATGATAAATACATTTTCTAATCGGTATAAATATTGAGGATACAGCAACAAAGGGAAATGGAAATGGCATTCACTAAAACAAAAAAGATTATCCTTTGTCCAGTTATTAGTATCAACAGTATGAAGAAACAATGGAATATTAGTTAGCACTTATTCTTTCTGTATAAATGATATTTTAAAAAGGTGACGTTGAAGGTGGCACATGCCGTTAACATGGCAGAAGCTGTATTCCAATACCCCCCCCCAAAAAAACAAATAAAAGCAATATAATAACAAGTGATGTCTTTTAGCAGACAAAACCAGCTAAAGTGTTTAAATTGACATTTATTGGCAGATCAAGGTTGAAATAATGATTGTGGCAACAGAGAAATGGAATCCGAAGAAACCCAAATTGTAAAAAAATTATAGATCATTTCGACATATCCCATGGGTCGTTGCAAAGGACCCCAGAAAGGGAGAACTTGAACTGACGCATGCAACTCACATTTTCCCCTGCTTTCCCATAGTAACGTGGACTGTTAGGTGCAGAGCTTCAAAGTAATTCTCCACGGCAGTCTAAGCCAGTTTATAAGCCAAGCACCTCAATTTGCTAGCAAGGTAGCAAGGCCTCCTAAAACTTGCTGCTTCCGATTTATTTTTTTCTCTTCATTGTTACACAATTAAGCACAACAATGTGCCACAATTTTTGGATATGTGTAAATGTCTACACCTTGTCAACCATAATATTTTTCATCATTAAAATCATCACACCTCATTTGTTTTCATTTATTTTATTGAGAATTGATTTGTAATTTAAATGCATTGTTTGCTCCTTAGCAAAGATACCGATCCATTTACATTCATACACATACAAAATGCAGTGTTTGAGTGTGTATTTGTGCCTGGTATTGCCCTCTATTGGAATGGCGACCTGTCCAAAGTGAACCCCATGTATGGTATGTAGATTGTGGGCGAGCTGGTACAAATCATGGAGGGATGCTAAAATTATTCTCTATGTAAATTAGACATTGGAGCCCTGAGCAAAAATACAGTCCGAATATGGAATTTTTTTTTTTTTACCAGAGGTGTGCCTGATGCCAAGGAACAGTTCATTTAAATTTGGTAATGATCCAGATCATTTGTGAGTTTTAGCTATAGGTGTAAGTCCCAATGTAGGGCTAAATTTGGTAATTGGCAGAGGTCTGCGCTCTCCAAGTGCTTCTCTAGCACTTCTTCTCTCCCTGGTTCACAGGTGAAATGTCACAGATGTAGTCTATGGCTGTTTCTGACCAACATTTCACTCAACTTGTTATTAAAATGGTTGGATACACCCATCTGTGAATCACCAACTTTTTTTTTTTTTTTTTTTTTTTTTAGCAAAGGACATTTCTAGATTATCCTGTCTGTGGAGGGTATCTTCCACTGTCTGTTGGGAAAAAATGTTCAGCCGCAACATAGTATTTAAAGAGGCATGTGTGTATATATGTGTATATGTGTTTGTTTGTTTTTTTGTATGTTTTACTTTTGCACCTTACATGGAGTTGTTATTGAGGTCTGAGTTGAGCTGGATGTTGGTCGCTTGCGTGTATCCACAAAATCCATCTTGAATATAATGCTTCGGGTGTCTGCTAAGATAGATCCATTTAATAGAGCCAAGGATGAGGGAGGTTTTGTTTGTCTCCATCTCTCTATACGCTCTCGCCTGTGTCCGACCTCTCAGACATTTCAACATCTTTTTCTGAATCTGACATTGTATCATGGCATAGACGATTCACATTTGGAGTTTGAAGAACACCTGCTTGCTTCTGATGATTTCCCTTAGCTAACCAATGAGTGTTTGCGTTCTATGACTCATCCAATTACACTAGATTTCACTAGACGTGGAGGGAGCTAATGATCTGCACTGGATGGCGCACATGACGTGAAATAAATATTTATAAACATTAAATCAGGGGTAACCAATTAAAATCAACGGGGTTCAAATAAAGAAAATCAGCAACCAGTAAAGGTCTGGAGACATTTTTAATGATCTGTTACTTTAAATAGAATTTAACACTAAAATAAAATTAGGTATTTATGCATTCATTTTATATACTGAATTTTGAAATAAATAAATAAAATAGAACTTGCCAAAAATTGCATCCAGTGCTATCTCAGAGGAGTTGACACTTGTATGACTGTTTTCTTGTATATCCATCAGTAGTTAAAGGAAAAGGTTCAGCAAATGCAAATTCTGCCCTGTAAAACAATCACAGCATAATTGTCGCTGTATGATCTGAAGCCTCATTTGAAGCTTTTAAACACACTTTTGAAAAACTTTGATAATTTGCTGCTGTAATATTACAATTTTTTTAGAATAAAAAGCTAGCAGATGTGCATAATCAAAAAATAACAGAAATACAATTATAGAGCATTCAGTATCGTAAGAAAGCCCACACTGTTTCTGAATAAATACATGAGTTAATTTCTGTTCCGCTTATGTCTCTTTCTTTGTAAGTGTAAAATGTCCCATGCTCCTGAATGCACCATAGCTATCTGACACTCTAGAATGCATCACACTGCTCTGTGAACGCTGTGCTTTGTAGATGCGCGTTTGATTTTCCGCTTAAGACAGAGCTTTGCAGTTTCCAAACTCACGTCGGCTATCACTGTTTATTGTTGTGTGTGAATAACAAGAGACTACAACAAATAAATCAGCTGTACCTTGGACAAAATCTTTGGATTTAAAGTTGTTCATAACACCCATACTGGGGATGCATGTCTCAGCAGGGATGCACTTTTAGGAATAACACCAGACCGTGGTCCGCTAATCCATGACCTCTGCATTAAACTGAAGCCAAGAGTAACGAGTAATGGTTGTTTTAAAAATGTAAGGAATAGAAAGTACAGATACTTGTGTGAAAATGTAATGAGTAAAAGTCAGAAGTAGGATGAAAAATAAGTAATGTAGTAAAGTATAGATACCTAACAAATACAGTAATGAAGTATTTGTACTTTATTACTTGACACCTCTGTGTATATATATATATATATATATATATTAGTGCTGTCAATCGATTAAATTTTTTTAATCGCATC